TGGCCATCTCTGATTCTCAGTGGTTTAACAAGATCTGTGTACAAGCCCTAATTCTGGTAACAAAAATACCTTCCTAGGCAGAATATGGTCTCATCCACCTTGTTGACCTCCGTGAAAATAGCTTGGTATCCTCAGGTGTGGTGAAGGATCACAGAGTTTGACAAAGTGATGTTTTTTGGACTGCCACTTCCAGAATCTTTCAACCAAAATGGCCAGGAGACATCCTGGCTAGCGAATGAAGGGAATGGTAGTCCAACAAAGTAACTTTTCCACACTTTGTCATTTGCACTGTTGAAAGAAGACTCAGCAGCTAGGCCAGGTGAGGCAAAACCATCTTGTCTTTCACTTCAGGGAATGGAATACCTGGGCTACATAGGAGTAGGCAATGAACAAGGAAAGCCATAAAGAAAGAGAAACCTGTTGGAAGCCAACTGCCAAAGAGGGGAAAGGACAGGTGTAGGTGTGCAGTTGGTGAGAAGGAAAAGGAAGATAAAGACCTGGTTTAAGGGCTGCAAGAGGAGGCGGCAGAGAGAGCTCTGTTAGAAAAGGGTTTTGTTTAATCAGGAAGAGGGGAAAGTAAGGCAAGGGTTTGACTAGGGAAAACCCAGACCATTGTCACAAGGCCAGCTCTGAGCTCACCATTGACCTCTACAAAGCCAGTACCTGGACCTCACTGTTCCCAACTATAAGAAGAGGCATAACAATTTTGGAACATTCATCCTTTACTGCTTTGAACTTTGGTCTTTATCTTCCACTTTCCTACTGGGGCACAAGAAAAAAAAACCCTGATCAAGAACTTTTTTTTAAGGCTGCATCCCTATGCAACTGGAACAAGCCCCCTTGAGTACACAGAGACTTGCATCAAAGTAGTAATAAGTAGGTGGTTGGATCAGGTGTTAGCCATATTTAGACCACAGCTATTGGAACCAATGGGACTTAATTAAATCAACCCTAAGTCTCTTTAATTTTTAGTGGGTGAGACTCTGGAGACCAGGGTTCAATTCCCAGCCTGGCCATGAAATCCACTAGGTGACCTTGGCCAAGTCACATGCTCTCAACCTTAGGATAAGACAATGGCTAACCTTCTCTGAACAAATCCTGCTAAGAGAACCCTATGATAGAGTAGCCTTAGGGTCGCCATAAGTTGGAAATTACTTGAAGGCACACAACAACAACAACTATTCTAAACATTATATCTGGATCAAACCAAGGAAGCACAGGCACCTCACACATCCACTCACTGAAGCTTATCATGTTAACCAACATGTAGGAAATGGTGTTAGTCTATGGGGGGGGGGTTTTTCCAAAAATACCAGTATAGTAGTCACATAATTAAGAATGAAAAATATACAGCTGCTGGTGGTGGTGCTACTACTACTATTTGTATAATCAAAAGGGTAACTTCTTTGAGTTGTGACCTTTTAGTTGGTTTTAATTAGAGTTCATGTTTCTTGAACTGGAACTTCCAGCAGCCATAACCAATATAACCAATAAGAAATCCTAAGAAATGCAAACATGGAGGGCTACATGATTCCCTCCTAGTAAAGGGATTCCCTTCCTGTTGTTGTTGTGTGTCTTCAAATCAATTCTGACTTAGATTGACCCTAGACGAACCTATCTCAGACCTTCGTGGCAAGAGTTGTTCCAAGGTGTTTTGAAATTTTCAGCTGAGAGAGTGTGACTTGTCCAAGGTCACCCAGTGGGTTACTTTTGTTTAAAGGCCTTTTTTCTAGCATTATGGGCTGTTTTAAGAAGAAGCACCAGATGACATATTATTTTATTTACAGATTTCTTGATGACAGAAATGTAAAAACAAAATGTGCCTATGGAAGAAGAACTAAAGAGTATCAGATTTCTTCTATATGTAAAAAAGATTATACTATTTTTATCTTGTTTTTCATTCAAAAAGGCTCCCAAAGTGTCTTTATATTAAATCA